CACCTTGTTATCTCAGATTCTCCAGCATCTGCAGTTCCTACTATCTCTTTTAATCCAGTGCTATTTTTAACTTCCTTAGCAGGTCACAAAAGGATATTTCTTGTTGAGTTTTTGATTTTAGTGGAATGTTGTTTGTTGAACATTTTTAATTGTTTCTTTAAGTGTTACCCACTGTTTATTTATCCCTGTACCCACTATACCTTCAGTCTATTGTTATGATCTTGAGAGAGTATAAACATGAAAAAAGAAAATTTAAACTCCCAGTCATTAACTGAAAGAAATACACTACATTTCATGTTTTAAATAAAAACATTTACTCTGCAAAAATTAAACAAAGCAATTTCACACTATAGTTTGTAAGCCCTTGTTCTTTAAACCTGAAAATATTGACAGACCATTTTCCATTTTTTTTAAATTCTACCTAAGAATTCCCATATACCTTGAAGCTCTTTCACTTCTTCTGGGACCAAAGCGAAATGTGCCAAATCTCTCAAGAAATCACTTTGACCCTCCTCCCTTATCCATTCTTCCAGGATATTAACATTTAGGAAGAATAGACAGGAGGAAATGGAGGTGAATTTACACTAATAATAGGGGATGGCATTAATACATTTGTGAGGGAGGATCTCGGCTCAGAAGAATAATGCACAGTATCTGTTTGGGTGGAATTAAGAAACAGCAAAAGGTCTTAGACATTGGTTGGAATTATTTATATGTTTCCAAATAGTACTGGCAGTGTGGGGCATGGTATTAATCAGGAATTGAGGGAAACATATTACATGGGCAACACAGTTATCCAGGACTGGGTGAAATCCATTGAGCACCAAAGCTGTGGATGAGTTTCTGGAGTGACTTAAGGATGATTTTCTGGAGCATTTTACAGAGGAGACAAGTACAGAAAAGGCCACTTTAGATATAATACAATGTGATGAAAAAGGGTGAATTAACAGTTCTGTTGTGAAAGAACCTTTAGGAATGAGTGACCACAATAATAATTTTACATTATGTTTGAAAATTAGGTAGTTCATTCTGAAGGAAGGGTGTTAAATTTAAATAAGGAATTCATGAAGGTATGCAGCTCAAATTGAGGTGGATTGGGAAAATGCATTAAAAGGCATCAAGTACATAGGAAATGGAGAGTCTTCAAAGAACTGCAGCAACCCTCAAGGGTTCCCTCAAGGTGCAAAAACTCACAAAAAAAATCTGTCAACCATGGCTGACAAAGGAACTTCAGGATTGTACAAGTTTAAAAGAAAAAGTCCATAAAGTTACTAGAAATAACAGTAATTCCGAGGGTTGGGGAGTTTAGAAAATACAGCTAAGGAGGATCAAAAAAATAATAAGGAAAGGGAGAAAAGAACACCAATGAAATTTAGCAACAAAACATAAAAATGGACTATGGGAGCTTTTTAAGATATGTAAAAATGAAATATTTGGCTAAAATGAATGAAGGTCCACTGCAGGCACAGTCAGGAGATTGATAATGGAGAATAAAGAAATGGCAAAGAAGCTAAATGATATCTTTTGTGTCTGTTTTCACTGAGGAAGACACCAGAAAACTTCCAGAACGAGAGATCCAAGTGGCATGGGACGATGAGGAGTTGAAGGAAATTACCATCAATAAGATGAAGATACTGGAGAAATTAATGGGAAATTAATTTTCAGTCTCTTTGTGCAATACTTGAGTTTCAAACAATCGCTAAATAAATTATGATCACCTTAATATTATTAATATTCTTCACCAGTCCAGGACACTCTCAGTTTCAACACCACTTACTGGTCGCAAGTATATGAAAGAAGGCAACCCATGTGTGACGCCAATCTCCTCTGCAACACAGTGTGTTGGCCGTCTTCATGCCATATTAACAGGGCTGAAAAATACCCCAAGTGAGAAATTATTACAGATTTTCAGGTAAGCTATATATGTTGAGGTATGGGTTGTATTCCTTAAGGGTAGCATTATGCAATGAGAGCAATACCCCAAGTAATAGCCTGGTTATTAATATTTGCAATTCAGTACAGGATTAGACAAGTGGGTGGGGGTTCCCCAACTTGCTGCCGAAGATATCACCACAAAGCCCACCTACACTGCAATGGGTGTCTGTTTTACACTCTGCATGACATTAAGCAGCTCAGAGTGAAACCTCTGCCCCCATCTGGGTCTGCATTCGATCCTGAAAGGAGGAGATGACAGGTAAATTTGGGAGGGGCTGGGTTTCTCAGTAGGGCCAAGAGGTTCTGGGGCAGGAGGCCAAGATTGCAGGATCCTAAGCCTAAGCCTAAGCCAGGTGGGAGGGGAAACCTGGGAAGGAAGCTTCTAATTGGAAAAAGGGGCCCTAGAAGGACACATTTACCAACATAACCCCTCCCGCAACTCCCCCACCCCAAAAAAATCCGCCCGAGGTCCAAGCAAGCTTACCTGCCATTTTTTCTGCCAATTGACAGCCTCTTTCCATTGACCGACAAATTGCAACTAGGCAGTAAGTGTCCCTTAAGGGCCTCAATCAGTGTAAACCAGGGCAGACTGTCTGAGGCCTTGCCACACCATAATGTCGTGACTACATCAGGGAAAGGCAGATAGGTACTTGGCAGGCACCAATAAAATTATAAAGGCCACCTCTCCCCTTCCAAAACCGGCCAACAGGGACCATTAAATTCATTTCATTATTATACATAATCTGAGACCATTGTTCCTTGTCTGGAAATATTTCTTACATTTTTAAAGGCACTTCAAACCTTTAAGTATTTCACACTGCTGCCACAAATATGAACCTGGAGCAGTTGATTCAGATTGCCCCATCTTACAACAGATCACAACCAATTTGCAGTCAGGAGAACTATGGAAATTATTATCTCAGGTGCTATTATTCACAATTGTTTGATGCAGCTGGGCAGGTAGAAATTGTGTGAATTTGTATTAAAGATCCATTCAAAGTTCATGGGAACAGATGAGAATAACTTGGTTTTTCTGCTGTGTTTAACTTTGGAAGGGCCCAATGAATTCCATGAAATAATTTGAAGGGGCTGATTAACTAGTAATGATGAACATCATTAAACATAAGTTGATTTTGTAATGGTATCTAATTATTATGATGGTCTAACAGTAGCTATTTCTGTAACTGTGGGGAGCTCTGCTACCTAGATCGCAGGTGTTATCAATGGAGCTGCAAGTGAATAACAATAATTTTTCACCTTAACCCTTCATTTTTCTAGCTTAAGGAAGCTAAGCTGTGAGAAGAGTTCAATAATAAAAGGGAGAGGTGTGTACATGTGCATCTGCAGCATGTTACTTGAACAAGTGAAGGCTGTTTGACCATTGGCTGAACACCATCTAATTGAACAAAAGATTGTAGCCAGTCTAAGCACTAAATTCAGTTGAGATGGGTAGAATCTTGCAGGGATCTGGACAGTGAAGGCTATGGTGAGATTTGTGGTGGCATTTGAAGATAAGTCCAGCAAGGATCATCTTGATGTTGGGAGTATGTCACTCCATCTTTTATGCTTTTATTGAGTGATGTAGCAAGGTTCTCACTAGGCTGTGGTGAGCGGCCAATTAAGGGCGATCATTGTTGTTAAATGCCTGTGGCATTTCTTCCTCAGCCGACCTTGGAACTGTCACAGTGAGGTGCTCACCAGATTGTGCTTCCACACCAATCACTTATACTAAGGTGTCGTTGTCTGAGCAGGTGAGAGCTGCAGGAGGCAGCCATACTGATGCTTCCTCTGAGGCCTCTGTACTGTTTCCTCAGAGTTCGAGGAGGTGGCTTCTGGGGGAGCCAGATGTTTCTCCTCGAGGGGAGCAGCGATACTGGATGTACCTGCTGGGAACACCACCACCTCCAAGTTCCCCTCAAAGTCACTCACCATCCTGAATTGGAAATACATTGCTGTTCCTTCACTGTCTCTGGGTCAAAATCCTGGAATTCCCTCCGTAATAGCATTGTGGGTCAACCCACAGCAGGAGGACTGCAGCGGTTCCAGAAGACAGCTCGCCACCACCTTCTCAAGGGCAACTAGGGACGGGCAAGAAATGCTGGCCCAGCCAGCGATGCCCACATCCCACAAATGACTAGAAAAAGAACCTGCAAGACATGAGAGAGACAGTGGTTAGACATGGTGTGCAATGAATGAGTGTGGCAGTGGGTTTAATGGGAGAGTGGCAGTGGAATTCATTATTTGGTGGAACATGGTTGCCTTAGCTTCCCGACATCAGCAGTTCCAGTCTTCCCCTGCGGGGGCCAGGATTCTGTCCTTGTGGGGGTTGAGGAGCCAAGTGTCTTGCAGCCCCTCACTCATAGGGCCTCCCTCTGCCTTTTTATGCATGGACTGTCTTCCCCTCTAATGACAGAAAAGGTGTGGAGGGGTGGAATAAATGAGCAACACAGCTGTTAGTGCTGGTGCATGTAGGGCAAATGTGGGGGGGGGGTGTTCAGAGAGATTGAAGAAGCAGTGGGCTGGCATGGAAGGTTAGTGTTGTGGCAAAACAAAAACAGAAACTGCTAGAGAAACGTTAACGTTTTGGGTCCAGTGACCCTTCTTCAGAACTTTATCAGAACTGGATCGCTGGGCCCAAAATGTTAACTCCGCTTTCTCTCCACAGATACTGCCAGACCTGCTGAGTTTCTCCAGCAATTTCTGCTTTTGTTTCAGATTTTGAGCGTCCATCCAGTTCTTTGTTTTTTTTTTTTGTGGTGTTGTTGTGAGATATTGGGGAGTGATGAGAGTGAGTGTGGGAAGGTGTTGCAGGCAATAGAGAGAGTGGCAGAGCCTGAGCCTTGGTGGGAAATGGGTTATGGGTGCAATGGCAGAAATAGTGTGAGGTAGCAGAGAGCAGAGTGTAGCACTTAGCCTGGCAGAACAGAGAAGGTTATTAACCTTGCTTTGACTCTGCTGGCTGGTGCTTGCATCCTGGAGATGGCACTGACCCAGCTGGCAACCTTGGACCAGGGTAACAGGATCTGGTGGCAGAGCTTCCTCTGCCAATCCTCCGGGAAGAGGGTTCCTCTCCTTTGCAACTCCCCACGTCCCAGGAACTCCGGGCCCCTGTTGGAGAATCATGGTGCCATCTTCCCCTTCTCCAATGATGCCAGTGCTCATTGGGTACACAAGCTCTTTTAAAGATGGCCCAGATGCATAGAACACAAGTCTTTCAGTAAATATCTGCTGAGCTAAGAGTTGTTCTGGGAACGTTATATGTTAAGATTAGGTGGAGAGTGGACATGACAGATGCCATAGGGGTGAGGTACATTATTAACACAGCAAGTTTATTCAGATACAATGAGAAAACCCACTAGACCTTATGGCAAAGCTTTCCCAATGTCCTTTCTATTGATCCATTAATCCAAAAAATAGATTCAAGTAGAGAACGTTCAAACTAAGGAAGTAGATGATGGCAAGTGTAATCAACAAAGTTTTTGGTCAGCTCCTTAATGATACTTACAATAGCAGCAACTATGTTGTGCTTTTAACATAATGAAAACTCCCAAGGTGCTTCACGAGAGCATTATAAAACCAGGTACGTCACTGAACCATGTAAAGAGCTATTAGGTCAGATGTTCAAAAGCTTGGTTAAATGTAGGTTTTAAACAGTGTCTTTAAAAGCAGAGTAATACAGAGAGTTAGAAGTAAAGACAACAAATCCCAAACCCCAGGACCTGGGGAAGTGAAGGCAATGACCATCGCTGATAGATGAATTAATATTGGTGATGCACAAGAAGCCAGGTTTTGGGGAGCTAAGATATTCCAGGGGGTTATGATGGTAGAGGAGATAGAGAGGGCGAGGCCATGGAGGGATTTAAAACAAGGATCAAGATTTAAAAATCAAGATATTGCTTGATCAGGAACTAAGGGAGGTCAAGAAGGACAGGACTGGTAGGAGAACAAGACCAAGTGTCATTTAAGACACAGGCAACACAGTTCTGGATTACCCAAAATTTACAGATGAATGATGAAAATACAATGAGTATGGAGAGAGTCTTGGGGATAATAAGAAAAAAGAAATAAGGATGGAATTAAATGTTGCTTACGGGATCCAGAGAAATACAAAAACAAATTTTCAGATATATTCTTAATGAAAACTATTAAAGACCAGTGAATCAGTTTTTAAAAAGTACAGAACATAATAGAGATTCTGGAGAATTATTTATTCATAACTGAAGATGATTATATAATATTTGGAAATGATGTAATATTTCAGGAGAAATTGGAAAGTACTGCTTCCCCAGAAAGTGAGAACAGATACTTGACATTACGCTTCTAACAGTGACAATATGGACTAGTCTGAATATAAAAATGAAGCAATCATCAATCGAGTAAACCTATGCAGGATGTATTACATAAAGCAATAGGTGATAAATTTGGTTTTGGACAATGGGGTGTAATGGGGGACAGAAAATTAGCAAAATGTTTGAGTCACATTTGAAGGTAGATACTAAAGAATTACTAAAATATAGACCAGTAAAGATTTTCACCGGCACATCTGTATGCATTTCCCAGAGAAATGCAACATAGTGTGAAACTAAGGCAATGACATGATGAGAAATGATGTCATTGACACTGCTCAGTTTATGTTGTCATTAAATTATATGACCTGGTGATTTTTTTTTTTTTAAACTTTTTGCACACTTGTAATTTTATGACATAAGTGAGGTGATTTTTTTTTAAGTAAAACAGAAAAGATCTCTATCCAACTTTACAATAAACAGCCTGCCAACAAAGCTGCAGATTCCCAGCAATTTAGTTTACAGGTAATTTATTATGCTGAAAAATAGGCATTCCTCCATTTTCACTTTTGCTGACACAGGAGTCCAACCCTGTAGAAATCAGTGTTTATTCACAGTTGTTCAGATGCATGACGATGTGTTTACCTTTCTGTCAGGTCCTGCTCCAGAGATCCCACACAGTCTGTTCTTAACAGAGTCAAAGAGATGGGTGAAATATTTTGTCACCATTACACACAGTCTACCAAGGATCACTCTGGCTTCTCAATAGGTACAGTACAATTAAGACTATAAGTTACTGAGAAAACCATTACTGAAGAGTGAGAGGAATAATGGCTGTGTAATTATCGTGTGGTCAACAATGTAGTCATCACTGACCAGAAACTTAATTATACCTGTCATGTAAACACTGTGGTTACAAGTGCTGATTAGAGGATGAGTATTGTATGATGAATAACTCAGCTTCTGACTCCCAAAATCCTCCTCCTATCTCCAAAGTGCAAGTTGTGTGATAAATTAATATCTGCTTTCCTGGATGAGTCCAGATGCAGCAACACTTAAGGTTCTTGACACCATGCAGGACAAACAGTTCATTCGATTGGCATGCCATTCACCACTTGAAATATTCACTGTTTGCACCACCGACACACAGTGGCAGAGAGTATACTGTCTACAAAATGCATTTGCAACAAGCCGCCTTTGGCAATACCTTCCGAATCCAGAATCTCTGTCACCGGAAGAACTGATGCAGGGGAACACCACCACCTACAAATTCCCCTGAAAGTCACAAATCATTCTATCTCAGATATTTTGAAGATTCTTTCACTGGATGTGTGCTGCCCATCCCTGATTGCCATTGAGAAATGGTCTTCTTGAACTGCTGTCAATCCATGTGGTGGAGGTACCACCCACAGTACTGTTGGGAAGGGAGTTCCAGGATTTTGATCCAACATTGATGGAGCAGTGATATCATTCCAAGTTAAGATGGTGTATGGCTTGGAACAGAACTTACAGGTCATGGTGTTCACTTTTGTATCATGACTTATCTCCTGTTTCTGTTATTGTTACTGAGCCAAAATCCTGAACTCTTTTCCCAGCTGCACCACATGAACTGCAGTGGATCAAGAAGACAGTTTAGATCCATCAGATGCTGGGCAACAAATTCTGGCCTTTTCAGTAATGCCCACTACCATGAACACTGCCAAAAAGCTATTCTTCTTTTGTGTCGTATAGTATTTTGCTATGAGGGACTCTCCTTCTCAATCTCTCCCCTCTCCTGAAGCAAGGTGACCCTCGGGTTAAACCAGCACCAGTTATCTCTCTCCAATGAATGAGCAGCCCTATGGTCCGGTAGTACTATGGCAAGTTTACCTTTACCTTTGTATTGACAATGCATTCTTCCATATAAAAATGAACATGTAGTTTGTATTTGAGGAAGTAATACTGGAGACATGACTGGAAGAGGTTTTTGTCAGAACCTCTTTGAAAATTCCATTTGTCATGAGGGTGATAATTCTTGTCTGCAGCCTCAGTTATGTGACTCTTCTGATGTCCATTTCTTCGACAAATACCAATTTAGGCTATTTTGGCTGCAAGTTCCAATCCATCTCTTGCCATTCTCAGCCCACCTTTTACAACGTTCCTCAAAATCTCACTTCAACTCAACCAGATGCATTGCTGCCTGCACCAACTGTGTGAATGAACTCATACCTAAGTCTTTTTCAGATCTTGCTATTTTCGTGACACTAAGAACGAAGCAGATTTTATTAACATAGAAACATAAAAAAACAGGTGCGAGCGTAGGCCATTAGCCCTTTGAGCTTGTATCACTGGCTGATCATGAAATTTCAATATCCCACTCCAGCTTTCTCTCTATAACTCTTGATCCTTTTAGCCGCAAGGGCCACGTCCAGTTCCCTCTTAAATATATCTAGCAAACTGGCCCCCAACTGCTAGCTGTGGTAGAAAATTCCACAAGTTCACAACTCTGAGTGAAGGAATTCTTCCTCATCTCAATCCTGAATGACTTACCCCTTAAGAAAGCACTATTTGTAGTTATAGAGTCATACAGAATGGAAACAGACTGTTTTTGGTCCACCTCGTTCATGCCAACCATGTTTCCCAAAATAAACTAGTCCCTGCGTTTGGCCCATATTCCCCAAACCTTTCCTACTCTTGTACCTGTCTGATCTTTTAAATGTTGTAACTGTACCAGCATCTACCACTTCTCATAGTTCATTCCACATATGAACCACGCTCTGTGTGAAAAAAGTTGCCTCTCAAGTTCCTTTTTAAATCTTTCTCCTCTCTCCTTAAAATTGTGTCCCCTAGTTTTGAACTCCCCTACCCCAGGGCAAAAATCTTTGCTATTCACCTTATCTATGCCTCATGATTTTATAAACTTCTACATGGTCACCCTTCAACCTCCTACACTGCATTGAAAAAAGTCCCAACCTATCCAGTCTCTCCTTATAACTCAAACCCTCCAGTTCTGGCAACATCCTGGTCAATCTTTTCTGAACTCTCTCCAATTTAATAATATTGTTCCTTTGGCAGGGCAACCAGAACTGTACACAGTACTCCAAATGTGGCCTCACCAATGTCCTGTACAACCTCAACTTGATGTCCTGACTCCTATACTCAATGGTCTGAGCAATGAAAGCAAGTGTGATTAACGCCTTCTTCACCACCCTGTCTACCTGTGACACAATGTTCAAAGAACTATGTACCTGAACCCCCTCGGGGTTTCTGTTTGACGACACTCCCCAAAGCCCTACCATTAACTGTATAAATCCTGCCTTGTTTGTTTTACTAAAATGCAATACCCTGCCATTTATCTAAATTAAATTCCATCTGCCACTCCTCAGCCCATTGGCTCAATTGATCAAGATCCCTTTGTAATCTTTGATAGCCTTCTTCACTGTCGACTATATCATCAATTTTGGTGTCTTCTGCAAACTTATTAACTATGCTTCCTAAATTCTCATCCAAATCATTTATATAAATGACCAACAACAGTGGACCCAGCACCAGTCCCTGTGGAACACTGCTGGTTGCAGGCATCCAGTCTGAAAAACAACCCTCCACCACCACCCTCTGTTTCCTACCATCGAGCCAATTTTGTATCCAATTGGCAACCTGTCCCTGAATCTCTTGATCTAACTTTACTAATCAGTCTACCACGTGGAACCTTGTTAAAGACTTTAGTAAAGTCCATGTAGACAACATCTACTGCTCTTTCCTTATCAAACTTTTTGGTTACATCCACAAAAAATGTAATCAAGTCTGAGACATGATTTCCCATGCACAAAGCCATGCTGACTATTCCTAATCAGTCCTTGTCTCTCCAAATGCATGTAAATGCACGTAAATGCTTTCTTTCAGAATCCCCTCCAACAATTTACCCACCACCGATATCAGACTCACCGGTCTATAGGCCCCAGGCTAACATTAGCCACCCTCAAGTCCTTCAGGACCTCACCTGTGGCTGTATGTGATACAAATATCTCTACTAGGGGCCGCACAATTTCTTCCCTAACTTCCCACAATGTCCTGGGTTACACTTGCTCAACTCCTGAAGATTTATCCACCTTTGTTTTTTAGGAGCTCCAGCACCACCTCTACTGTAATGTGGACTGTTTTCAAGACATCAGTACTTACTTCCCTCCATTCCCTAGCCTCCATTTCTGTATCCACAGTAAATACTGACACAAAATATTCATTTAGTATCTCTCCCATCCCCTATGGTTCCACACACTGATCTTTAAGGGGTCCTATTCTCTCCCTAGTTGCTCTTTTGCTGTTAATGTATTTGTAGAATCTCTTTGGATTACCCTTAACCTTATCTGTCAAGGCTATCTCATATCCTCTTTTTGCCCTCCTTATTTCTCCCTTAAGAATGCCCCTACACCCCTTAAGTACTTGATCCCAGTTGGCTGTACCTAACATATAACTCCTTATTATTGATCTCTTGTGGTAAATTGTTTCTTTGGAAGAATGTAAGAGAATGTAATGAATAGTGGTTTTGTTGTGAAAAGTGGGCCTGCTAATATTTAATACCTAATATTTAATAATATCTTTAATTACACAGACAGTACTACCAAGTGCCTTCGACTTGCAGAAGTTCTTTACTACAAAGTCCTGGAAACAGTCATTGAGCAGGAAAAAAGGAGGTTAGGAGATATAGATCTGACTGTAAGTACAAATTAAAATGTTTTCAAAAACATAGAAGTTATGGAGTGTAATTTTGACAGTAACCTTTACTGCACCAACAATACAGAAGAGTCCGCTCTAGTTTGAGCTTTTGCATTAACTGCATAATATTTATATGAAGTCAGCACTAGTAATATGTCAAAGGTAAAACATTTTCTATCCATATTTGCTTAGTGTATTATCCCTTGTCACTCACAGTACTTCTAAGATTCCACATGAATCTTTAATTGCTCATGGCCGATTTCATAATTCTGTTAGTTCGTTGTCAGCGACTTTGATTTTAAAAATTGAGGCTATGGAGGAATGAATTCCTTGAGCTATATTCCTTGCTTGATGCCATCACTTCTCCATTGATCTTCCAGCGTGTTTGTTGGCATCACTACCTGATGAATCGGCTGGAATTGGGGGGAATCTCATCAAAGATCCAACATGAAAGTTGCTTCGATAGTGTTTAAAGTTTGGAAGCTTTAATAAGTTCCTTTATGTTAAAAATAGCCTTAGTAAAATGGCAAGGCTTCCAATAAACAGCCCATTGCTCCGGTTTTGAATTATATTGAATGTCACTTGGAAAAATATGGATTAAGTAGGGAAAGTTGACATTTAATTTGAAGTTTTTTGATGAGGTGTTAGACATGATATGGTATTTGCAAACTTCCAATCAGCTTGAGATAAGTCAAAGCCTGTGGAATAAGAGTCAAAATGATAGAATGGATACAAAGTAAACTGAGTGATGGGAAGCAGAGTAGTGCTGGATAGTTATTTTTTCAGACTGGGGAAGGGGATACAGTGATGTCCTCCAGGGGTTGATTTTGAGACCAGTTTTTTCCTGATATTAATACTCTAGACTTTGGTGTACAGGGTGCAATTTTGAAAATGTAGGGACATGAATAGGCTGGTGGAATGGGCAATCACATGATGTTTAATGAAGTGAAATGTAAAGAGTTACATTTTTGTAAGAAGAATGAGGAGAGAAAATATAAAATTTAAAAGGGGTAAAGCAACATAGAGGCCTGGGGATATATGTGCATTAATTCTTAGATGGTGGCAGTGCAGCTTGAGAAAGTGCTTAGTAAAGCATACAGGATGCTGGGTTTTATAAATAGGATACAGAGTACAAAAGAAAGGAACCTTTATAATCCGGGTCAGTGTGGTATATTGTCAAGTTCTTGTTACCTGGCTTTAGTAAGGATGTGTAGGCATTATATAGGGTGCAGAAAAGATGCACCAGAAGAGTTTTTATAGATTTGGTTATCTCTTCAAATTGGAGAAATTAGAGTTGTTCTCCTTAAAGAAGTTTGAGAGGAGATTTGATAGAAGTATTCAAAATAATGAAAAGTCTAAATAGTGGAGATGGGGAGAAATTGTTCCCATTGATGCAACAGAAGAGGGCCAGAGGAGATAGATTTAAGGTGAAAGAAAGTGTCAATTTGAGGAAAAGCATTTTTTTTCCAAAGTGAGTTGTTTAAGATGTCCTTACTACTTGTGAAAGGCACAAGGAACAGGCGCATTCATAGGCGAATTGGATAAGCAATAAAGAAAGAAATGAAGGAATGTAGGAAAGAGCAGGGGAGTACTGGATGAGTGACTCTCTCACAGAATCAGCATGATGGACTGAATGGCATTTAGCCATGCTATATAACTATTCTACAATTCTATTTGACTTTGCATTTTAAGTGGTTTTGATTTTTTTGTCACAATGATTTTGTTCCTGTATTTTTTTTCTCAAAAATAATGTGAACAATATGTGAACAAATGGCCATGGGAAATAAAGCATTAGCTTGTGCTGTCACAATGGCCAGTTAGAGCTTTATATGCCATTCAGATCAGTAAGTTTCTTAAATATTGTATTTTTATGATCAATCCATCAAATGAATGTTTGAAGCTTTCAGTTTATACTTTTCTAAGTATGGCAAATGTTTCTGTTTCCTATACAGGGGATATTGGAACAAGATGTATTTCACCGATCTCTTCTGGCTTGTTGCCTTGAAATAGTTATCTTTTCTTATAAACCTCCAGGGGACTATTCGTGGATCATTGAGATCTATGACCTTCCACCTTATCACTTTTATAAGGTAGGCAATGCATGGCATACTAATTCACCTTCGAAGAGCACTATTAAATTATTGCATGGAATGAGGTCTAATAGGCCTATATTTTCCATGAATAATTGCTTGAAGAAAGATTCTGACGTTATTTTGCTGGTTGTTGTTATTATTATTATTGAAATTATGGTTTTCTTTCACGTTTGCGGTCATCCGTTTCTTTTGTTTTTCTACATTTTCAATGAGATGGCCTTATTTTCCTCCAGTTGCTCCTAACCCCCTCCCCTTCCCCCCCCCTTATCATGTGAATCTGGTGATAAACTATTTTAAATTGGGTCCTTTTAACTTCAGGTGAGTCCAGCTGTATATTGTTTTCGGTTCACTCAAATGCCTTGATTGAGCAACTGCAGGGCTACTGCCTGAAAAGTGATCCTGACATAAAATTTGGGAGGAGATATTGTGCAACTCTTGCAGCTCCTAAAATCAGTTCCTGACAGTACTTTGACATGTTTGCTATAGTGAGAAAAAGTGGTTCACTAAACCCCAATGCACAGCACAGTACAGTGCTGCTGCAGTTTTAAAGGAGAAAAACAGAACAGTCCAAGGGAGTGTGTGTGTCAGTGGCTGCTTTGATGTTACAAAATCATCAGTCTGATGGAGCAATGAGAACCCATCTACTTCCCAGTTTTTCTCTGTAGTCTGCAGTGGAAATACCTGCCAGGTGCTCTCCCCAGTGATGTAAAAGATGTGAATAATATCCATCACTCTTCAGATACATAGAACTTCCATATTCTGATCCGTATCAGTGGTGTGTGATGAACTGTGCATAGAGTGCTGAGGGATCCAACAATACAGATCTCTGATCCTACTGCCTCTGCCTAAAGGCTTACGAACTGGTGCACTCAGAATGGCAGGCATAGGAAGAGCCCATATGTCTTAGCGTGGCTGCCAGAAAGCTTCGCTTTGATTTATTGGAGCAGAAGAGGATGCTGAAGCCAAGGACAAGCAAAGAATTGTTATAATATCAGTGGCTGAGCCTCGAAACTCTGAAAATTCAGTAATCCTGCTGCAGATGTTCACTATGTCCCAGTAAAGTGAGTGCAAGTTTGTTTCCACCTAAAGGCAAGAACATTAATAATTTTGTCTTAATCAGACCCAGAACTATATTTTTCAAACAAACTGTTCAGGAGTGATCCATTGTTTCCCCTCTGGTTCATGAATAAATTTGACAGTCTGCTTCCCAATCTGGAAGTGCCTTGCAATGACATTTTTTACTCTATATCAATCCATGTGCTGATCCCTAATGTAAACCTGTTCAGCATAATGCATGATGTGGTGCCAATCTTAAATTGTTCCTGGTTGTCAGAAAGCACTATCTGAAATTATTCCACCTTATGGGGGAAAAAAAAGCTCCTTAATAAACCTGAATTTATTACAGTGATGGCAGCAACAGGAAATCCTTTTGATGGGTTTTATGTACAGAATATTTTGAAATGAGATTTCTAAAGTTGATTGCCTATCTTGTAGGTGATAGAAGTACTTATAAGGGCAGAGGACGGTCTCTTCAGGGAGGTAGTGAAACACCTAAATCATATTGAGGAAACAATCCTGGAAAACATGGCGTGGAAACAAGAATCACCCCTTTGGGATGGAATTAAAGATGCAGAAAACAAGGTTCCAACATGTGAGGAGGTGAGTATCCATCTTCAATTTATTGTACAATCTTGTAGTCTACATTAGTTTCATCATAAACTGTTGCCATCATTCTGATATCTGGAGAAATAAATTCTATTTATAAAGGATAAAGGTGGAAATGAACATGCGTGATTTGTGGCGGATAAAATGCATCCAGTAGTGCTTCTGGATATATACATATTTAAGAATCAGAAGGAAATGGCTCTTGTCATGCACCGGTAGTGTCCCTACCACTGGGCCCGGAGGCATGGGTTCAAGTCCCACTTGCTCCAGAGGTGTGTAATAACTTCTCTGAACATATTGATTAGAAAATATCTAAAATAACTCGTGAGGTCTGCAGTGCATTATCTATGCCTCAAAAAGTCATTTTGATTTAGCCCCCTTTGTGTTCCTCCTTTTTTGGCTTTTAGTTTTTGAATTTTTAATTCATGTCATATTTATTCTAGTGTTTGTTAGTTGTTATTTTTGTGATTCCGTTTATTTAGAACAGAGCTGAAATCTTGGTGTACATGTTTTCCCCTCTCCCATCATAGCTCCCTTAGTTTCTCCCCTTTTGGCTGTTGGTTTTCATTACCCTGCCTCTGGTGGGTGGTTTTTGTTTCTGTTTTATTTGAGAATCAAAAAGAGCTGAGATCTTCCCTAGTCGGGTGTTGGCTTCTAGACAGCAAAAAGTCCAAAGGGGAAAGCGAGACTGTAGATTTATATGAAGTCCTTAGAAATCTCTGACAATTTTTTTGCTGCCTAATTCAACATATGCATTTCAGTGTTTAGAACTCTGCTGGTCGCGGGTTGTGTTGAGATGTTGCCAGGTAGCATGCTGTGGAATATGGTCAAGGTCCTCACGTCGAGGACCAGGTCTTGGTTGAGAAAATTCTCCAAGTACTCTTTCCCACAAGCCGTCATTGTCTTATAGCACTCTGCTGTTATCTCTGTGTGGTAGGTCCTTGGATTCCTGGGCCATAGGTAGTCCGGACTGCAGTGAAGAATTCATATGTGCCATAGCTGTCAGCAAGTTGCTGCATCTCTCGTGCCCTTTCTGCCCACTATCTGTTCATTTTTTTTTTTGTTGGACCTTGGCTTTCATTTGTCTGCAGACCTGCTCTCTTTCCTTCAATTTTAAGTGCTGTTCACAGCTCAGGAACACGGTCTGCTTGCAATTTGGTAGTTCCTAGATCTCCTAGTCATTCTTTTTAAAAGTTTTGTTGTTGTCATAGGAGAGAAACCTAGAGTCTAGAAAGAAATCTTGTTAATTAATACTTGAGTATAAAGAGAAACTTGGACCTCCTCGTCAAAGTGCACCTAAGCCTCACAAGGTGGCCATTGAAAGGTCCAGGTGCCTAGCTGTTGGAAGGGTGTGGGTTACATGAGTTGAATGCCTATCTCTTTACCACATGGTTATTTCTGCACCCAGAAACCAGGTCTCCCTAGAGAGGGAGAGTGCAGTGTCTACCAGAATACTTAAGGCCTTTTGCCTCTGGTTGGTGCCTCCATGGTTAAAATGCATTGTCAACCCCCAAAAGAGTATTTTAATAGGTCATCAGTTTCTTCTCATAAATTTCATTTTTTGTTATAATATCTGAAAGAGCCGCTTTAAGGGGTTTATTTGTTCATCTGTTGAATTAATTTATTGAAATGGTATAAAGAGAGACTTCTGGGACAAGGGGTGTTGTCTAGGGAGGAAGCTGACATGTAACATTGCATTCTGCAAATATAGAATGAAGTAAAAGATTCGCATCTGGTTTCGTCCTTCACCATGTGGCTTCTGAAGGAGTTAACATATTCAACTTAAGCTCTGTACTTCTGTGCGAAGTGGCCATCATTATTTTCCTAAATTTTCCCTTACCAGTAAATGAGCAAGGCATAGATATAGGGTAATATTCTTTCTCTAAATGTATCTTTCCATACTAGAGCATAGTACTTTACAATGAATAACATGAATACAGAAGCATAAGAATCATCTTGATGTAGGAGGCCATTCAGCCTATCATATTTGAACTAGCTGTCTGAGCATTTTGACTTGGTGCCTTTACCCCGTAACCCTGTCGTTTCCATTAAAATAATCATCCAATGCCTTTTTGAATGCCTCACTTGAACTTGCCTTTGCCACACTTCAAGACTGTTTTCCAAAACCAGACCAAACACTCTGTGAGAAAGATTTTTCTCACCTCACATTTGCTGCTTTTGCAAAGCACTTTAAAACCGTGCCTTCTGTTTCTTGATCCTTTTACAAGTGAATACAGTTTCTCCCTATCCAGACCCCTCGTGATTTTGAAACTTCTTTCAAATTTCCCCTCCGTATTCTCTTCTCCAAGGAAAACAGTCCCAACTTTCTCATCTCTCCTAACAAAGTTTCTCATCCCTGGCACCATTCCCAAACCTTTTCTGCACTCTCTCTTTAATGCATTCACATCCTTCATAGTCTGTGGCAATATTCTAGTGGAAGTTGGATCAATGTCCGATATAGGTTCAACATAGCCTCCCTTCTCTTGTACTCTATGCCCTATTAATGAAGTCCAGAATACTATGTGCTTTATTAACTGTTAACGTCTACCTTTCATATATATATCTATATATACATATATACACACACACCAGAATTTTGTGTTCCTGCACACACTTTAGAATAGTATCCTTCAATTTTTACTGTCACTGTGTTCTTTGTACCAAAATATAATACCTCACACTTCTCTGCATTGAACTTCATCTACCACCTATCCACTCACTTCACCAATTTGTCAATGTCTTTTTGAAGTTCTACACTGGTGGTTACCAACCTTTTTAAGCACAGAATCACTTTTTGAATGTAAGTGCAACCCAAGATCTATCCCAAAGGAAAGATAGAATAAACACTTTGTTTTTAGTGCTACGTAAATCTAAAACCAAATATAGTTATTTATATTGTCCTGTACTCACCAAGTCTCAGAATGACACCAGTGACTGCATATTATCTGCCTTTGCCTTGACATCTGGGTTGTAGTTTAAGTCTGCTAGTTACACATGGTCTATCAAATGGCTATCTGTGTGGCAGGTGCAATACTTAGATTTGATTATCTCCATTTGAAAGAACCCTGACTCTCAGAAGTATGTGGAGTCAAAGTAAGGTTCCACTTTAAAAACACAGGATCGGATATTTTTCTTTGAGGCCCCAATAATTGTTGTTCCTTGTCTGACTTGCAGCTCAATATCATTTTGCATAGTAATTATCTCCATATCAACTCCACTACTCTGATGGACTTTGGTAGCAAACCCATAAATACCTACTTGAAGGAATGGATTTGAGATATACATAATGATTTGTTCCATCACATTTAATTTCTGAAATCGCCTGATGAATTCATCTGTTAACTTCCGCAGCTGTGCACAGAAATTTCCTGGTGGGACCAATTTTTTTTGCTGCAGACTCTGAAGTGTCAGTGTTTTAATTTTTTTAAATTGGGTGGACCACAGACCCAGCATGGCCACTACTAAACTTACCTTGCCCTGCAATGATAGTCCATCTGGACCAAACTGAAACATGATACAAGCTAGCAAAGCCTTTTAAGAGCATGCAATTTTCTGTGGCTGCTCAACTTCTGGAAGTGGAATTCATGCAGAGATATGACGATTGATGTATTGCAGAGAGGCAACTTGAATGGGTGAGGAGATGAACTGTCAGAGACTCTGTGATCGACCAGTCAATCACAATCTACATGTTGGAGACTGTGGTTCTACTCTGTCCTCACAGGTTACAATTCTGTCACATTTCGTGCCACCTGCAAACTTTGAACTTCTTCTCTGCATGCGAGATTTGCATCATTTATATATTTTTCGAGAGAAGCAAGTGTTCCTTGCTTCAAACTTCAACTTCAACTTCAAACAAAAATCTACAGGAAAAGACGATATCAAGTGTCACCATGTTTATTATAGATACAAGGTTACTTGCACAAAATCAGGGCAAGTGAACAAGTAGTGAATACAAATTGATACATTGAGTAGGTTTCATTTTGTTCCCGTCACACCAACCCTTAGGGAGCTCCACTCATCCCACAGATCTGTTACATGTCACAATATTGAACACCTTTTGGGAATGAATGCACAACATATCAACAGACTTGCCCTCATCACACCTCTGTTACCTCTTTGAAAAACACCAGCAAGTTAGTTAGACACCATTTTCCCTAACAAAACCATGATGAGTCTTCCAAATTAAGCCACGTTTCTCTGTGTAACTATTAATTCCATTCCAAAAAGTTGTTTCCAGAGGTTTCTCACTTCCAGAGTTTAAACTGACTGATTGATTGCTGGGGCCATCTTTACAATCTTCTTTGAACAAGACCTGTAATGTTTGCAATTCTCCAGACCTCTGGCACCCACCCTGAATCTAAGGCTGACTAACAGGATATTGCCATGAAAGAACCTGAAGATTGTAATGCAGAACCTACTGTGCCTTTCCCACAAAGTGAATTCTGCATATATTGGTACAAGATATTGTACAACCTAACCAGCAGTCTTTATAAACCGCACTGAAAATGCAGCTAGAAATGTTTGCACCATTTTTCTAGGATTTCCTCAGATTTCCCTGACAGTATGGTGGCAGACTGAAAAAAGGACAGCAGAAATTCATCCAAGTCTGAGGGCACAATTTTTGGACACAGCTGAAGGTGGCTTCACTCGACTTCAAGTTGAAATTATCAATATTTTTAAAACCATATAGCTGATAGATTCCACTAATCTTCACTACGGCTGATTGAAGTCAAGAAATGTATCTTTCATTTATTGCTGTATGCATGCTTGGCGTTTGTCTGTTAACTGAAGGATTAATAATCTTTGACAAAATAATAATCCAAGGATTAAACATGGGAAGGTTTAAAACAGTTAATTAGAGCTTTACACAATAGCTCAGCTGACAAAGGGGATAAAGTGCAACACAATGTATTCTTTTCACAAGTAATTTAATACTTCATCTCACTGACAGAAAATGATTAGAAGTAACCAGGTAAAGTTTTAAATAGTGAAATTTCAGAATCCACAGAATCAATGTAGAATTTGTACATTCTTCCAGGTGATGCCGCCACATTACTTTGAAAATCTGGAGAACACCGGAAGCAGTGAGATGTATTCTCCCATTACTCCTACACGACTTAAGGAGGTTCACACTGAGGGTGGCAAGAAAGGTATGATGATTCACACCACATGCCCTTAGCTCTCTTGCCGCACAGTCTCCTGCCCAGGAAGCACATTCCAGAAATTCGAGTGTTGTCATTGCCACCCTCCGATCCTAAGTGATACATTAGTTGCGTCTTCTGTTGCCCCTGCGTACTAAGTGCTAAAGACTTACAATATATAGCTGCTTGTTTCCCTTACATTGGTCCTTCATGTTGGTTCAGTCAGCAGGTAAGTCAAATGACATGGTTCTGAACCAGAGAAATCATTAAGATGTGAGAGTGTAGTGTTTTCTCAGTTGAGATTTCGGGCAAGAGAGCTTACAATCACGGTTTCCAAAATACTAACATGACAATCCCAATTTTTTTCTCTGAAAAGGTTTCTCTTTATAAAACCACTGGATTGCTGTCAGAAGTAACTTTTCTGTTATCCGAACAATTATTGTTCGTGTTTCCCTGCTGTTCCTTCTAGAAACCATTGCATCTCCCACCACGTTACATGATCGATACAGCTCTCCAACAGCAAGTAATGCAAGAAGAAGGCTGTTTGTGGACAGTGAAAGCAATCCTGATCCTTCTTCAAGCAACTCCCTCAGAAATTCCCAGCAACAAACAGTTAGCACTGTACCAGTCCAGAATGTGAATACTGACACTGTTTCTATTGCACATGTCCCTGGTCAGACTTTAGTAACCATGGCAACTGCAACTGTTACGGCTACCAACGGACAAACTGTTACGATACCGGTTCAAGGTAAATGATTTGTACATAAGATTTGTATTTTTTTTTCCTATCTGCCCTGGAGGTAATTTAACAAGTGGATCCTATAGGATATTTTCAAATACGATTTTTCTTTTTAACCTTCAGTATTATGAACTTAAGGATAATATGAGTTTTCCAGGAAATGGTTGGTTGTTAGTTAGCTTTTAAAACCAGGCCAAATGATGACTAGCTCAGAAAATCCAACTTGCAGCCGTATTTAGAATATTTGGAATTTTATTATTTCTTTGTGTACCTTCTACTACATTTCAATTGAAGTGTTCCAGTTGCAGGAAAAGAACGTTTATTTGGATTTAAAGTTGGAAATTTTAGACTAACAAAGAGCACATCGTCCTTTCTGTTCTTTCAGCCGATTTGGTAAACTCAAATAGCTAAGGTCATTTTTTAGCCTGTTTACTGTGATTACTTGCCAATAATACTTCAAATAATGTTAGAAGATACTTTTTTCGATGCTTTGTTTTTAGCAAACTGCTAATTTTACTTTTTTTTTAAACTCCAAGGTATCGCAAATGAAAATGGAGGAATTACTTTCATCCCTGTTCAGCTCAGTGTTACAGGACAGGCCCAATCTGTGACAAACTCCATTCAACCCCTCACTGCACAGACCCTTGCCAGCAGTCACCAGTTATCTGGAACTACAGTGCAGATTGCTGGACAGGTATCAATGCAGCAATCCCCAGGACACCGACAAAACCAATGCCAAATGGCAATGAGCAGCAGACCTAAAAAGACTGGCTCAGTAGCTCTGTTCTTTAGAAAGGTATGTTTCTTTATGGATATGAGTGAAGATTTCAAGCAGCAATCAGGATTTGTATTGTGTCTTTTCTCTTCAGATAAGCAACATCTGCAATGAATAAAATGGTAAATTATCCTGAATTAAAATTGGACAACAGCTATTTGTCATAGGTGCAGGTAGCTGCATGTTATTAATGTAGCCTAGGGAGGAGGAGACTAGAGATTGGGATGTTGTTAAAGGAGGGAGTTTGATACTATTTTCAGTCTCCGATGATTCTGTTTCTGCTGTTGTTAAACTAGGTTTATCATTTGGCCAGTATTCGTCTGCGTGATCTCTGTGCAAAACTGGATATTACGGATGATTTGAGGAGGAAAATCTGGACATGTTTTGAATATTCCTTGGTCAACTGCACAGATCTTATGGTTGATAGGCACTTAGATCAGCTGCTGATGTGTGCTGTTTACATAATGTCCAAGGTAAAATTTGCATTGAATGTAACACAGTGAAAAGTTAGAATAAATAGCATGCATGGAGTTTTATGCTTTAAGGCTCCTTTATTAATAAAAAACAATGTAAAAATGTTACGTTAATGATCTACTATCTACAAATATACTGTCAATAAAGGATGAGTATTTCTGAAGAACATTCTACCACATTCCTACAGTAGTTGCACTTAGGATAGTGCATACTATTTTTTAAACATCGTTTACTAACTTTTCAACTACAACATGAAGCCTGCTTCAACTGATCTACTGATCCTCCCTTCAACACATAGGCTTCGTGTTCTTGTATGGGTCTAAAATGTAGACACCAACCCTTTAGACTCTGCTGAACATAATATGTTCTTATCCCTCAAATTTAGCACTGAAATAAGTTGGTGTCACAAAATATGACAAAGTCCAAGCTGCAAGTCTGTTCAAACAAACATACATATGACTTCTTGCAATGTTTGATTTTTTAAAAATTACTGTTGCAATAAATGCACATTTTAAGTATATTAGAAGAAAATAAGCCTGTTGCACTCAGTAACACATGGTATTGTTTGGGATGAAGTTGTTAACAAAGTATATTTGACCTCCCCTTTCTCCAGGTGTGTAGAATCAGGTACTAATATTGGAGTATAACTTACAAAGGGCACGCAATGGGAGAAACGCACTCAGATTTTGGATGCGCCTTTTGCTGATATTTGTTTGCACCAAACGATTTGCTAATGATTCTGCTAATGATTAGCAGAAAGATCTCGGTGTCCATGTGCATAGATCACTGAAAGTTGCCACCCAGGTTGATAGCGTTGTTAAGAAGGCGTACGGTATGTTAGGTTTTATTGGTAGAGGGATTGAGTTTCGGAGCCATGAGGTCATGTTGCAGCTGTACAAAACTCTGGTGCGGCCGCACTTGGAGTATTGCGTACAGTTCTGGTCATTGCATTATAAGAAGGATGTGGAAGCATTGGAAAGGGTGCAGAGGAGATTTACCAGGATGTTGCCTGGTATGGAGGGAAGGTCTTATGAGGAAAGGCTGAGGGTCTTGAGGCTGTTTTCGTTAGAGAGAAGAAGGTTAAGAGGTGACTTGATAGAGACATACAAGGTGATCAGAGGATTAGATAGGGTGGACAGTGGTAGCCTTTTTCCTCGGATGGTGATGGCTAGCACGAGGGGACATAGCTTTAAATTGAGGGGTGATAGATATAGGACAGATGTCAGAGGTAGGTTCTTTACTCAGAGAGTAGTAAGGGCGTGGAATGCCCTGCCTGCAAAAGTAGTAGACTCGCCAACTTTAAGGGCATTTAAATGGTCATTGGAATAGTTTAGGTTAGATGGGCTTCAGATTGGTTTCACAGGTCGGCGCAACATCGCGGGCCGAAGGGCCTGTACTGCGCTGTAATGTTCTATGTTCTATGTTCTATGTTCTATGTTCTAATCACGTTCTCAAAATGTGGAATATAAATCCGGCTGTAAGAAAATTCAAAACTCCATAAACAATCAGGGCCTGAGGAAAGTGCCAAACACATCTCACACATTGCTCTTTAAGTATGAAAACTAGAGTTTCACAAAATGTAACTATCATTCATGCACATTTAAGAGATATACTCTGAGCAGATCAATTTTCCATTTCTATTTTTATTTCTGTTGATTTTCATGTGTTAGTAAAACAGTACTGTGCATTGTGCTTTGAGCCAATATAAAATTGCTTTCTATTTTCAGGTGACAAAAGAGGATAGATCCTTCCAGAATATTATGCGTAGCTATAGAACACAACCGCAGGCCAGCAGCAATGTAAGTTTATTACTAAAATTTTGAGATACATTGAGTAATTTGAGAAATTCTGTGTTAAGTATAGCACGCATGAGAGGTTAAAGATGACTTTGAACCAATGATCAGCAATGCTTTCTACCACATGGATGTTGTTCTTCAGGTTATTTCTGGATGTGCTGAATGCTGCATTATTTAGGAGATTGATTATCAAGCTCATTCTACAGCTCCATTGACACTGACACTGTATCATGCACCTGTTGTGAATGGGATGGAAGAAGTTTGTATCAGTTTAGCAATTCATTTCTTCTGATTCTTTTGAACAATTATGTATGTATATACCTTGCATTGGTTATTCCTGGGATTTTGAGTAATTTCATTGACTATGTCATAGAATCATAGAATCCCTAGTGTGGAAACAGGCCCTTCGACCCAAAAAGTCCACACTGACCCTCAGATCATCCCGCCCAGACCCATCCCACATAACCCACCTAATATACACATTCCTGAACACTACGGGCAATTTAGCATGGCCAATCCACCTAGCCTGCACATCTTTGGACTGTGGGAGGAAACCAGAGCACCCAGAGGAAACCCAAGCAGACACAGGGAGAATGTGCAAATTCCACATTCTGTCGCCCAAGGGTGGAATCAAACCAGTGTCCCTGGCGCTGTGAGCCAGCAGTGCTAACCACTGAGCCACCGTGCCGCCCATAGTTTGTATGTGTTGAGAAAATATAGGAGGTTGGGGAAGCGGGACCATCTCTGGACTGTCATTAAAGCCCTTTCTGGTCTGTACTAATGTTAAAAATCTCAAGGATATTGAATGACTGTAACCAGAGGTCTTATTAAGATTTACATATTACAAATGAAGCTCTGTACCGTAACGTGCTGACAATGGAATGTTTAAGTGAGTGGGAAAGCCAGCTCACATCATGTTAAAAGCAGGTGCCAATGTTGAACAGTGTCACAATTACATGAATTTCTGAGACAATCATCTCTTTGGTGATGCCTCTAGAGCAGTGTGGTAACACTTTTTCATAAAAGCCATTCCACATGGTCAGTATCAGACTCCTTCTGACCCTCTTCAACATTCGCACTCCATGGCTGGAAACCTGCAAGTGTCAGTGCATAATCTGCACCAGTTTGGAGGCAAGGAAATGACATTCAGCCAGGGGCATCACTCTTAGTCAGAACAATTTTTATGGAGCAAGTGCAGTTGCAGGGGGTGGGAGGGTGTCAGCTTAATTGTTATTCAAGAGTTACACCAGGTTTTTCATTGTTTCTAGGGGAATTGACATGGCTAGGACTGGAGGGTTTTAGTTATAGTGAGAGACTAATTCTAAAACTTTCGTAGCCAGTGGAAATGGATCCAATCTAACTAGGAGTTGGCAGTTAATGTCTTCATTGAGTTGAGTTTTGTTTGGATATGTTTATAATTCTTTAAGCATTAATGTCTGTTTCTGATTATTAATTCACACCGTGATACTTGCAGGATAAAAAAAAACTTGTGTCTGTAAAGTCGAAATCAATCAGGAACAGTAGTGTAAAGCTACTGTGTCTTGAATAAGTCACCTGTAATACATTTCACTCAATTTCTGATTCCATTGACTTCAAAGAACTGAATATCATGCAAGGTGTATAATTGGAGTAGAGTGGTATCACCCATCGAGGAATTTCTATCCCTGCAGCCCCTCAGAGGAACTCTAGCTTTAACAAATGATGCAGCAAAATATTTGAATATCTATTCTTATTGACACTGAGATTTCCGAGGACGATTTTACAAGAATATTACAGCATATCTAAAAACCTTCATATCTACTGCCAAAGCCTAAACACACTCCAGAAATGTATGGAAACAAGCCAGCTGTGATGATGTTTAAGTCGTTAGTGAAACTTGTACCGAAAATTCACCATCTTTTGAGAATGTATTCTGAAATAGATCACTGCGATATGACTGACAAACTGACGGAAGGAGGATTGTAGATTCTGTTGAAAAATTGCTCCTCTTAAAGCTGGAGACAGAATGTGCCTGATAATTAATGTAGAATTGTTTCAAAATATTCTTCTTGAAACTTGTAAAGCAGTATACATGAACCGCAGGACAATGTCATTAGCAAGGTTTGTTAATGTAATTAAGTCTAAGTACATTCTCTATGTTTAAAGCTAGTCAAGTTTCTGCTGAAGGATATGATATTTTACACCATTTAATTTTATTGCCTGGCTTCTGGTTGGATTTAAACTCTGTTGGATGTTTTCTGACCCTTCACTGAACAGTTGCTTGCCAGTTATCCAAGTAGGTTATTCATTTGTTAACCTCTGTTTGCCTGTCCTTACAAGAACTTCCACTCATTAAAAATGAGATATGGGATTTGCAACCACATAGTTTAAACCAATTCAGCCACGTTAGTTACTCTGCCCTGTTCCTGTATGAGTGTTAAGTAAAAACAAACATTATTGTATCCTTACAGGTTTTTAAAATGAGCAAATTATTAGCTCGTTTTTATGTGTATGTGCAAGGGAATTGCTGCTCATTCTGAATCAGGAGAGTTTAAAATGGAAGTGACTCTGGACATTCATCTTCTGTCCACTATTTGAATGCAGCAATTAACTTATTTAATCATTTTACTACTTTTCTTAAAATAGTGTGCATTAGAATTTGGTATCACTACATTGCTGGATGAATGCTTAATGTAACAAATGATAATTTCCCGGCTCCTGTTTGCTGATCACAATTAGATGGCTGGCACAGATGTACCAATTCAGTAATGTAGGTATCCAGTACAACAAAAGCCTTTGAATTGTAATATGGCAATCAAAGTATTCCCTTTAAACATTACACCTGAGAAAATACAATTAAGTGTGCACAGTAATCCTAATTGTTAAAACAGATATGCACAGAATTCTGTAATAGTTTTGTGAATATATTTGTATAAAATGTCAAAGAATATTATAAATGCGGATTTATTGCATAGTAATTGCAGGAGGTTGAATACAGCCTATTCAATAAATTGTTTGGATGTACCATGTGTACCACCTATTTCCAGACCTTGAGCTTTAGACTCAAATTAGCAAAATTACTTCAGTGTTTTATAAACCTGTATGGACTGTCTTTGAAGAAAGAATACCACACCAGTCATGTCACCACAAAAGAAGTGTAAAGGTATTCCTTGTATTTCAAGGGCCTTCAAGGAAAAAGACAAAACATACCATTTGACCAATTTTGAGGTAGAAAATGGACATCACTGTTCAAAGCCTGATCTCATTGTGTTGTCCAGGTTATCAGTGGCTTTACTACTTGTATCTATATTTGAGAGAGGTGTTTTCCTTAGACTTGGCTCTCTTTGTATTATCTGCTAGAATTTATACCAGGATAAAAAATTACTACCTAAGCTAATCATAAGTGTACAATTAAACTTCACTGCCGTAGACTTGGTGGGACGTGAGAAGGCTAACTTTTCCGCAGTAATTTACAAATTGTGTGGATGAATCCATAATTAACAGTTTTATGCTCCTCCCAAAGTTGAAAGGTGCACAGAGTATTCTATTTCTTTAGAGTTACATTGCTTTGTAGTCCATAGGATTTATAAAATTGAGTATCCTTTGTGAGTTAATTTGAACAATACACTGCACAAATTTTTTGGTGCTATATGGTCACTCAACACTTCAAAATGAGGTTGGAGAAGTGATTTCTAACAGGAAATGCATGAGAGCTTCGATTGTTGTTAAAGAAATTTGTGTGCCAGACCTAATAAGTACCAACAAGATGCAATGCAAAATGATTATTCAGTCAACTCTACAGCTAAATACAATGTTAACAGAAGTGTTAGTGCCAGCACTACATAGGGGGATCATGATCTACTTAGAAGGTCTTACTACATTAGTTCCTCTGAATATTAATGCATTTGTGTGTTTTTTTGCAAGTTAAGCAATGTTTGAATAGTCTTTTCTTATTCATTCATGGGATTTAGGCATTGCTTGCTAAGTCAGCTTCTGTTAGTGGTGAACTGTTTACTTGAATCTCTACAGCCCTGGGGTGGGGTGGGTGTGAGATATATGCATAGTGGTTCCAGGATTTTGATGCAGTGACAGTGAAGGAACGGTGATGTAGTTCCAAGTTAGGATGGTGAGTGGCTTGGAGGAGATCTTGCAGATGGTGATATTCCCATTAGTCTGTTGCTGTTGTCCTTCTAGATGGTGGAGGTTGTAGATATGGAAGGTGCTGTCAAAGGAGGCTTGGTGAGTTCACACAGTACATCTCGTAGATGGTAAACACTGTCCTTGTGTGTCAGTGGTGAAGGGAGTGAATGTTGAAGCTGGTGGTTGGGCTCCTTTGTCCTGGATGATGTGAAGCTTCATGAGTGTTGTTGGAGCTGCACTCCTCCAGGTAATCAAAAGCATCCTGTTATATTCCTGGCTTGTGTCTTGGAGATCGCGGACAGGTGTTAGGGAATCAGGTGGTGAGCTACTCCAAGAATGCTCAGCATCTGACCTGCTCTTGCAGACAGTTTTTATATGGTTCGTCCAGTTCAGTTTCTGGTCAATGGTAACCACCAGGACTTTGGTAGATTTGACTGGTAATGCCATTGAATATCAACAGGAAATTCTCACCTGTTGCAGATGATTATTACTCAGCACTTGTGTGGCGTGAATTTTATTTGTCATTTAGCAGAATGTTGTCCAGATCTTCCTGCATTTGGACATGGACTGCTTCAGTATCTGCGTAATCGCAAATGGTATTGAGCATTGTGCAGTCAATCCGTGAATAATCCCACTTCTGACTCTATGATGGAGAGAAGGTCATTGATGAAGCAGCTGAAAATGACTGCATTTAGCATACTACCCTGACGAACTCCTGCAGAGATGTTTGACCTCCAACCACCTTCCTTTCTGCCAGGTATGGCTCTAATGTAGACTGCAGTTTTGCAAGGAATTCCTGATACCACACTCTGTAAAATGCTGCTTTGACATCAAGGGTAGTTATTCTCAGCTCGTCTCTGGAGTTCAGCTCTTTTGTCCATGTTTGGACCAAGTGAGCTCAGTTGACAACCCTTGTCACATTACTGATAGTAAAGAATACACTGATAGCACAGTCATGGCTATATCTGCTAAGGGTCTTAAAGGGCTTTCTATTAGTTTTCCCTGCCATGAATGAGCTCTCAAAATTTATTTTGTACTCTTGGATAATTTTTAAGACTGCTAAAATTGAATATTTGAAGGTTCATAAATTATGTTCCTCAGATACTTAAATGCAATGCCTTGTACCTCTCCACCACCACCCCCCCCACCCCAAATTCTGTTACTTTCTAGGATTACAAGTAGTGCAGAGTTACTATGCTTGCTGACACAAACATCTTCTGGCAAGTTACAACAAGAGTACCGTCCCCTAATTCAACTTCTGATTAACTTCAGAATAGTCACTGTTGAGAAAAAAAGTCTCCTTTTGCTGTTAGCTAAATTACCCTCTAAAACACTGGTCTGAGGTCAGCATGACACAACCTGAATACGATACTGCAGTGTTTATGCAGAGGCTTGTGGGTTATATTGAATTACCAGTCTGACTGGTGAGCTCCAAAACCAATCTGCTCTGTGGAGGAGAACTTAAAGGAAAAAATAAAATCAAGAGGGAAAACAAAATTAAAAGATGTGGATTTTATTATTTTAACATCCAACCTGAGTATTTGTATTAGTTTATGATTTTGAGCCATGAGTCTAAGCAGCATGAAATTTGGCTTGAGTTTTTTGAATTGAATTAGGCTCCAATTTCCTGCTTTGCTGCTTCAGGCAAAGACTATGGATATTTCAACTTAAATTTGATTGAAATTAATGATTTACCAATTGCACTGTAATTCTGCTAATTAAGTAAAAGTATTTTACTTTCACCAAAAACTGATCTAAGTCACTCCTTTTAGAGTTACTAGTTGAGGATTGCATTAAAATTTTAGTAATTATCTAAACCATGTTTAATGAATCTTACAAAATACGCCTGTGTATATTTTAAGAGGACAGTGAGTTTTGTGTGATAGTTTATACATCATCAATTTGAGCCTTTGGGGGAATTGTTCACGTAGTGCTTTAAGGTCTCATATTTCTGAAAACAGTTTATTTTGGCTCTTTTATTTCTTATAACGAGCACAAAAGACTGACACCTGGGAAAATAATATTTGAAAAAAATCACTGGCAGTACATTTACATTCTTTCCATGTTAGTTCATGTGTTTTAAATGTAACTGAAAGATTTATTTAAGCACAAACTATAAAGTGTACATTTGTAAACTGAACAGTTGTAACTATCTATCAGTGACTTTTGTAAGTGGTATCAGGGACTGTGTGAAAATAGACAAGACAGACTTTTCTGTGAAGACCGGTGGGCTATTCACTTAGAAAAATACAGAAATCCAACTCCCAGCCCAAGCAATTAGTTTAACGATCAAGCATCAACACTGTCAGAGTGGTTTTGATGATCATAAAATCCCTACACAGTGTGGAAACAGGTCATTCGGCCAAACAAGTCCACACCGACCCTCAGAGCATCCCACCTAATCTACACATCCCTATGGGCAATTTAGCATGGCCAATCCACCTAACCTGCACATCTTTGGACTGTGGGAGGAAACCCACGCAGACACGGGGCGAGTGTGCAAACTCCACCCAGACAGTCACCCAAGGGTGGAATCAAACCTGGCACTGTGAGGCCACAGTGCATTTATACATTATGTAATTAACAGCCAAGCAAATCTGATTAGGAGCCTGTATCAACTTTAAATGATATCCCAACTGAAATCATTGTTTTATTGGCCCAGTATCCTCAAACAACAAAAGGGAAATCAATCTAGGATTCCACTCCTGATCGCTGCCTTTTGAGAGGTATGGGAAATACGCATGCATGAACATTGAATGAGAACAGAATTAGGCTAAGTTGTGCTTATCCTTCCAGCTAACCAGCCTTAAGTTCCAAAAGAAAACGGCCATTTCAGTGAAGCATTAGGATGCCACTCATGCCTGTGAAATAGCAGCCATACTGGAGTACAGAAATAGGGAGCAACTTACCTCCTACTCAAAAACAATTCAGAGATTTACTTTGAGAGATCATGATTGATATACAAGACCCACTTTCTGGTCCCTTTTCAGTAATGTTAGGTTAGAAATAGGATGGGGTTTAGATTAAATTGTGCAGTGTTACACATTAGAGGATGAAGACTCTGCTCTAGCAGCTATATAATACCTTTTACTATCTTGTAGATGTCACAAAGGTAGCTAAGATGTTATTAAAAAGGATGTGGCTGACTAGAACCACAGAACATTATTGCCAATATTTACAAAGACCCAAGATTGAGAAAAGCAGGAAACATGGCACCAGATCTACTTAAATTTTCTCTAGCAATCTTTTTCAATTTAGATCACCATCATGTGCAGTATTGAGATTTTATGGAATTAGTTTAGTTTAATCGCGATCAAATTATAAAACTAAAACAAAAACAAATTGATGGCTCTGCGTTCCTAACAGCTTGTAGGTTGTTGCACAGTGTAATGAAAAATCCCTAGTTCAGTGGGAATGAGAAAGAATAAAACTAGAAGAGATGTAGCAGTGTGAAGCTGACGTGTTTCGGGTCGGGACCCTTCTTCAGAATTTCTATTTATTTCCCAGCTCCCTTTCCCCTCCCCCTCCCCATTTCTGAAGAAGGATCCCTACCCGAAACGTTAACTCTCCTGATACTGCCTGGCCTGCTAGGTTCCTCCAGCTCCACACTGCTACATCTCTAGTTTATTCTTTATCTGTAGAAGAGATGTTGCATGTTTTGTTTTGAAGTGTGGTATTAAGAGAAAGACTGGAGTAATTGCAGTTTAAAATGAAAGTTTGAAGGGCACGGACTGTGCTAATCTTGATATTAGTAAGCAGGAAGGTGGGAAGCCCCAAGAAAAACAGACTACCACGACATACATGGAGGATAAAAGCATTTTCTTGTATCTTGAATCAGAGGTGTTAGGAAAACAGTGTTCAAACCTTATACATACAAGGGGAATTATAAAAGAAGAGTAAAAAGGTAGATTGTTCATAGTTATAGGCAGTGGTGCTTAGTGGTATGATTTCACGCAAATAGTAAGTCCTACTCACCTCCATTGGTCAATATTTTGAGCCTTAAAGGCTTTTGTTAATGTTTTACACTACTGCAATCCAAAAGTGTGCACTTTTGTGGATTCAGAATATTGTCTTCAAAGGTGTACTGTGCCTTGTTATAAAATTGTCCCTTAGATTTACAGAAGTGTGCTGCTAAAAGCTCGGAGAAGACGGACCTCAGGCAGTAGTGACAGTAGTGGTCGCCAGGGCTCACCAACTGAGACGAGCAGAGACAGGAGTAAGTATTTCAAACATGTTCTCCTTTCCTATCCACAGGTACTGTTGTTTCTATGTTATGGCACATGTGCTTTCAGAATTTTCTTTTTAAAAATTGCCTTAAAAAAGGAAAGGTTTACACACATACTGTGATACCCTAAAGTTTTCAGAGCTTGTACATTTCTATTCTGCTGTCTCCTGGGATACATTTATTTTAGTTAATTTATGCGTGAAGAGGTGGAATTCAAAACTGTGAAATTAATTTAAGGAATTAGCTTAGTTCTGTTTCAAGACATGAACTGATATAGCTGACAAGAACCTGGATTTAACAAAGTCATGCTGAGTATTGGCCCGAGTTGCAGCTGATTCATTTCACCTGTCTCTGGTGTATTATACTTGAGGTTCAGATTTTGATGTACATAAGCAGTTTATCATGCTTCCCACTGCCTTGTTCATTTCTTTGACCTGTTCCTGTACATCTTTTTCTAACCTCCCCACTCTTGAAGCTAAATGGGAAGGCAGTGGGCTAAGTTTCATGGAAAAGTTCTCTGCAAATCCGAGCAACTTTTCCCTTGTGTCTTACTAAGCAGGTCTCAAAACTACCTACCATCCCTATGGTGCCCCTCCCTTGATTCTAACTCCATTCTACCACTCGCTGTATCTGGAGCAACTCACTGCTGGAATATCCTTGATGTCAGAAACATCTTCAGAAGGCTGTTGTGAATCGGGACAAGCATTGCTAGTCTGGAACTGCCTCCAGCTGTTTCCTGGGATAGCAAGAACTGCCAATGCTGGAGAATCTGAGATAACAAGGTGCAGAGCTGGATTAACACAGCAGGCCAAGCAGCATCAGAGGAGCGGGAAGGCTGACGTTTCAGGCCTAGACCCCGAAACGTCA